TTCTCTGTTGTTTTTCTGTTTTCTATTTTATCACTTAAGCTATTATCTTTATTTTTTCCTGTGTTCTGCTTAGTTTGTTTTTAATTTTCTTTTCTTTTTCTGGTTTCTTAAGGTAGTAGCCTAGATCATTGACTTGAGACCTTTCTTTTTCTCTCATATAAACCTTTAATGCTATAGGTTTCTTTTCAATCACAGCTTTAGATGCATTCCACACATCTTTATCTGTTGTATCTTAATTTTTATTCATTTCAGTGTATTTTTTAATTTCTTTGTGATTTCTTCTATGACTCCTGAGTTATTTAAAAGTATGTTATTTAATTTCTCACTATTTGGGGGTTTCAGATATTTTTATACTGTTGATTTCTGATTTATTTTCACTTTGGACATAGGACATTCCTTGTAAATTTCAGTCCTTTTAAATATTTTGAGATTTGTTTTGTGTCCGAGAATGTGCTCTATGTTGGTAAATGAACCATCTGTACTTGAAAAGAATGTGAATTCTGTTGTTGAGCAATGTCATGTGCATTATTTTATATATGACAAAATTAACAGCCTGTGATTTGTTGGAAAAATTTTTAAAAGTTCTTCACTAAAAACCAGTGCTTCTCAATCTGTGTGTAACTTATAGCTGAATACTGGTGTTTCCATTTGTCTTTATGATTGCTGGGGATGCCAAGTGATAACCAAAGGTGCTAGTATTTAATTCATATTGAAGCATTTTTCCAACTGGATCTTGCACATCTAATCTTCTGGTTCCATGAGTCTTCAAGTTCAGCTAGAGTGAATGAGGGTCTGTGAAACAATTTTAAGGTTTTTTAATGTTTTAGACAGATTGTAAATGCAAAATAAAAATAAGAAGAAAATGGCAAATACAACTCTTTAAGATCGGTCATTCACTGTCCTACCCTCACACACATGTACTGGTGACAGTGTGTAGATTTATATTTTAGAAAGAAAATTGGTGGCATTGTTACAGATGGACTGGATAGGTGACTATGGTCTGACAGTGACCACTTGGGTATTTCTTGGATAGTCTAGATGAGAGATGTTTCTTGAAAGAACAAGTCTGCAGTGACAATAGCAGTGGAATGAAGGGATGGTTTTAAGAGAAATTTTGAGATAAGGTTTAAAGGTCTGTATCTCAAATGAGGTAGTTTTTGGAGTTAACAGGTTTCTGCCTTGAGTAGCTAGATAGATGATCTCATTCACCAAGATGGAGAAATAAGATAAAAAGCAATAGTTGGTTTGGGAAGGGGTATAGAGTAGCCTTGGCTCAGCACAGTTTTATTTGTTTGTAGGATGAGCAATGTGGTGAATATGGGGGTGGCATGGCCCTTGGATAGATGAATGGTATTATGACATAATTGATACTATGGTGTATATGAGGTGCTATAATATAGTGGATTCATTTTAATTTAAGGTCTTAACTCCTGGTCTCTCCTATTTGAAGCCCTACCTGCTCTTTATTTGCATCATTCTTATATCTGGGATCTATGAATTTGTAGCAGCAGTTTAGTTAGCCTTAGTTTTACCATAATGGAAAATGTGTGTAATAAAAAGCAAAACATAGACGATTTAACAAGGGCAATATTCTGGTTATCTCTTGTTGACTAACAAGCCACTTCAAACTTAATGGCATAAGAGAACCGTCATTGTATTACTCTGTGGTCACAAATTTGGACAGGACACAGTGGGATGGTTTTTCTGTCATCTACCATGCCTGGAGCCTCAGCTGAGAAGACATCTGGGGTGATTCAGAGAGCTGTGGCTGGAATCCTCTTTCATCCAACATTCCAAACAGGCTGGAACCTGTTTCATTCAAATGCCTGCCATCGGGGTTAAGATGGCTTGAAAGCTGGGTGGTTCCCTGGGACTGTCCGTTGGAGCGCCTAAATGTGGCCTTGCCATGTTACACCTTCTCAGAGCATGGCAACTGGGTTCCAAGAGAGAATATTCTGGAGGGAGAATACCAAGAGGGAGTGTCTAGAGAGCCAACATTCCAAGAAACCAGGCATTAGTTTTGTGGCTTTTTCTAATTAATCTCAGAAGTTGCATAGCATCACTTCCCCGTACTCTGTTGGTTGAAGCAGTCACTAGCCCGCTGAGATTCAAGGGGAAGGGTATTGAGGAATTTGCAGTTGTTTTTTGAAACCCCCACAGATAATGACACTGATTTTCTAGGCTTAAAAATGTATTGGCTCTCAAGAAATAAAGAGACCAATTCAGGCTGTAAGGGAGACATAGAGATCTGTTGTTATTAATCATATGATTTCCTGAAAGTTTGGTACTAGTGAGTGTGACAAAAGAGGAGTTCTTTGTTCTTCTTACAACCTCTTAAAAATAAGCAGAAAAGAAATTACTACATTTTATCTAGCCATGAAAATTTTTATTATCTGAAATATTTCTTGTTGCTCTTTATGTAAAAAGGCATATAGTGTAAAGTCTCCCCGTTGTCCTCCGTTTGCCCAGTTCCCTCCCACATCGCCCCCCCAGAAAGATAGCTGCTGCTTTTAGTTTTTGAAATCTGCCTCAGACTTTTATAAAAATATTCTATATATTATAATATAATAATAATAGTATGAACATAGTATAGTTTATTTAATCAGTTCCCTATTGATGCACATTTGGGGTGTTTACAGTGTTTTGCTGTTATAAACAATACTCCAATAAATAACCTTATACATTCATAATTTCCCATAAGTAGGATACATTCTAGTAGTTAAAGTAACAAGATGGTATATTCATGTGTAATTTTGATAGCTACTGCTGTATTATACTCCTTAGGTCAATAGGTTAAAAACGCACATGGGAACCTACCACAATGTATGTGAGTGCTGTTTTCCCTTGGCTTTGCTATCCAGTATGCAATCGAATGTTTTTATTTTTGCCTATCTAGTAAGTAAAAAATGGTAACTTGGTGCATTTTTATCTTGCGTTTTTCTTAAGTAAGCTTTTCATTTGCTTAAGGATCGTGTTTCTTTCCTTTTCTGTGAATGTCTTCATTGCCCGTTTTAAAAATTAGATTTTTGCTGTTTTTCTTACCTACTTTAAGGGGCTCTTTGTTCTTGTTTTTGCTTTAGAAAAAGTTTCAGAGATGAGGAAGCAAGTAAGGGTAATGGATGAAAGGAGAAAAAGCTAAGATACCAAAAATTGCTAGAGGTTAAATAAAATGAGTACCCTAAATCTACTGCTCATTCAGTTACAGATATTGGGTTCTATATGGCTGATTTTATCTAAAAACTTTATAATAAAATCTGAAAGATTTAATAATTAAGGAAAAAGCCCAACTTAAAAACAACATTAACATTCCCACCTATCTTTATTACTTTTTTATTTGAAAAGGCTATAACAATTACAGAAAAATGTTTTAAAGTTGTTTTAAAACTATTACTTCTTATAATCCTTCAATGTCACATTTTCTTTTTACTTTTGTGCATTACAACCCTCATTTGTACCTACATTAAATAGCAATACCATAGTACATATTCATTTTATCGTAGACATTGTTCCTAATTTCTTATAGTCTGTCATTTCATAAACATTTGTATAATTATGATTTTTTCTTTTTGAGGAAGATCAGCCCTGAGCTAACTACTGCCAATCCTCCTCTTTTTGCTGAGAAAGACTGGCCCTGAGCTAACATCCATGCCCATCTTCCTCTGCTTTATCCATGGGATGCCTACCACAGCATGGCTTGCCAAGCGGTGCCGTGTCCGCACCTGGGATCCGAACCAGTGAATCCCGGGCCGCCAAGAAGCAGAACATGCAAACTTAACCACTGTGCCACCGGGCTGGCTCCTAATTATCATTTTTAATCACTGCCTTAAAATATACTATAATTTTTAGGGCATTTCCTAATTTGGGGCACTTAGGTTGTTTCTATGTTTTTGCTCTTATAAATAATACTGCTCTGAGTATCTTCCTTCATTTACCTTTTTTTTCTGTTGAATTATTTCCTTAGGATAAATTCCTGACTGGAATCATAAGGATAAACAGTTTGAGTGTTGTTATGGATTTTTATTATATGTATTGCCATGTTATTTTCCAAATTGTTATAAAAATATATAGTGTAACAAGCAATGAATGAGGGTCTCTCAGCCTACCCAGGATCCTACTCATCCTGGAAATTATGTTCCTTTCATGAGCTCTTTTCATAAGCTTTTCCAGTAGTATGAGTTGCTTCCTTGCCTTCTTCATACAGCAGTTTATGTCTTCTGTCTTATTCTGCTTCATATAAGTGAAATAAACTCTTAGAGTTCACAGCGGTGCTGTAATCTGAACGACACATTTTAACTTTGGAGTGAGTAGTACTAGATAGGCGTTTCTCCTTGGCTTGCTTACTCTCTATATATTACTGGGGAAGCTCTTAATAAGAGTAAGAGTGTGTTTGAATGAAGTTGAGAGTTCTTAAAGGCCTGACACACACCTTCTGAATATTAACGGTCTTCTATGGCATGTTTTAAACATACCTGCCTATCTAGAAGGCTACTTAGGGACACAGACTGTGTTTTCTCTCCCCTCTGTAACCAGGACCATGTAGCAGAACATGCAAACTTAACCACTGTGCCACCGGGCTGGCTCCTAATTATCATTTTTAATCACTGCCTTAAAATATACTATAATTTTTAGGGCATTTCCTAATTTGGGGCACTTAGGTTGTTTCTATGTTAGTAGGCTAAATGTTAGAATAAGGGTGAACAAGGATTCTAGAAGAATCAAATCTCAGAGGCAGGAACCAGGGCTTAAAAGAGCCTGGAATTTAATCAGAAATGAAAGACAATGTTGGAGACAGTGCGACTGCAGAGTGCCTCAATGAGGGAAGTATGAAGGGTGGGGAGCACCAAGTTATAAGATTAGGCATCCTCTTTAGATGTCTCCACAGCCCCTTCCCTGTGCCTTGCTACTTGTAGGCCCTCAACCAACGTTACTGGGTATGTACCTATGAAGTCTTTAAACTCTTTAAACCAGTTGTTTTGTTTTGTTTTGTTTCCTAATTACAGCTGGTGCTCAAGATCGGGTAGGTTGGGCCTTTGGCCTAGGACTAGAAAGACTGGCCATGATCCTCTATGACATCCCTGACATCCGCCTCTTCTGGAGTGAGGATGAGCGTTTCCTGAAGCAGTTCCTCGTGTCAGATATCAACCAGAAGGTGAAATTTCAGGTAAAATGCAAGAATTAAGTAAATAATAATAAAAATGGTTTTCAAGAATTGAGGGGGTCATGTACTTGAAAATAAAATTATTGAATTAAAAATCATGTGAATTTGAAAAGATGTTTTAAGTAAAGGTCCATAAACACACAAGAGTTCATAAGCCTTCAGAACCGTATGCAGAAAAACAGAGATTTATCAAGCTTATTAGTCTAACCAGAGAACCAACTTTGGGCTTTGTTAATGACCATTTTATCATTATGAAAGATCCATCTTTATCACTAATGATATTTAAGGTTTACTTTTTCTTATACTGATACAGACACACTGACTTTCTTATGATTAGTGTTTGCAATGTATCTTGTAACTTTCACTCTCTGTCTTTGTGTTAAAACTATGTCTCTTGTAAACAGCAGAGTTGGGTCCTTTTTGTAACCCAAATTTAATTGGAGTATTGAACACATCTCACATTTAATATAATTACATAGAATATTCTTGGGCTTAGTTTTATCATCTTTTTATTTCTTCTCCATTTCCCCTTTTGTTCTTTATTTCTTTAGTTGGAAATTGTGGTTTTGTGTTTTTTGTTTGTTTGTTTGTTTTTGTGTTCTATTTTAGTACCCTATTGCTGTTTACTTTCATCATTTTGTATTATTTTTAAGCGGTTATTCTAGATTACAATATGCCTAATTAATTCATCACATTTTACCATGAGTAACTATTACACAACTTCATGAAACATTTAACAACCTTACAATAGTGTAAATTCTATTTACTTCTCCTGTTTTTTGTCTTATTATTGTCATATTTTATTTCTCCATATATTATAATCCCACAATGTATTGCTCTGTTTGCTTCAAATAGCCAATTTGTTACTGGACCAAATGTAGGTTCCCTTCTTGGTGAATTAGGTCAAACTGTACCAGAAGTAGTTGTCTCACAGAGCAGAAATTTTATTTGTGGCATGTGTAAAAAGAAAATGGAGACCATAGGGAATAATTTCACAAAGCTATGACTCCCTGAGCACAGGGAGGTAGGTACCTTTATTTTGGGTAGGGAATGAATAGTCAAAGGGGACGTTTCGTCATCACCTGTAGAGGTGGGCATAAGCTTGCACAGGTGTGGTTTGAAATCATGCTTTTACATACATCACATGATCTAAAAATGGCTTCTCTGCCCCTCCCAGGGGGCAGAATTTCTGCTGTGAGTGAGGGCAGGTTACTTTAGTGCAACTCTCTGCCTGTCTGCGCAGGTGTCATTCTTGTGCTGTGGTGTGGACTGGTCTTGTCCAGTTCAGAGCCGTTAGTTCTAGGGCCATTGTCGCCTAGAGCTTCTTCCTGGAACATAGCTGAAACCGCCTAAGCTCAAGACCCAACGTCATTGGAGAAAAGAACATCTGCACCTTTTAACAAGACAAGAAAAAAAAAGTTAAGAATTTAGGCAAGACAAGAGAAGTGGGTTAGAATCCATACCTAGTGACAAATTGTCTTTTAAAGAAATTTAGAAGTATGTTATTTTATATTTCCCTTGTTATTCATCCCACTGATCATCATTCCTTTCTGCTGATCTTGATTGTTCTAGAACTGTGATCATTTCTCTTCAGTCTGAAGAACTTCCTTTAATATTTCTTGTAGTGCAGAATGACTTTTCTCAGCTTTTGCTTGTCTGGAAGTGCATTTGTTTCACCTTTAGTTTTTTAGGACTATTTTCCATGGATATAGGCGTCTAAGTTGCCATATTCTGTTTGTGTTTCTTTTCCTTTCAGCACCTTAAACATCATTTCATTGCTTTTGTCTTTTTACTCTGGTTTTCAGCAGTATGACCTCTTATGATTTTCTATCTATTATCCTGCTTTGGGTTTCACTGTGTCGGGTTAATGTCTTTCAACCATCTTTGAAAATTCTCATCTAATCTCTTTTCCACCAATTCTAACCATTCTTTTCTTTTCAGACTGCAGCTGCGTTCATAAAAGACCGTTTGGAACTATGCCATAGAACTCTGATGCTCAGGGTTTGATTTTTATTAGTGATTTTTTTTTACTCTGTGCTTTATTTTGTATAGTTTTTATTGTCTTATCTTTGGGTTTACTAATCTTTTCTATTGTGTCATTAACCATTAAGCTCCTCCAATGAGTTAATCATTCCAGATAGTGTATGTATCAGTTCTACAATTTTTATTTGCTTCCTTTTTAGAATTTTTATTACTGTGATGCAATTTTTCATCTTTTCATCCATTTTCTACATTTTCCTTTAAATTCTTTAGCATATTTATAATAGTTATTTTTAAGTCCTTGTCTGTTAATTATAACCGTTTAGTTACCTATTGTCCTGTTATTTGCTGTTTTCTTCTTAGTTATGGGTCACATTTTTCCTGCTTCTTCACTTGTCTTACTTTTTAAATTGTGTTTGAAAGAACACAGAAGCTGAAGGGTTTTTGTTTTTGTTTTCATTTTTTTTAAGTAAGCTGTTTATTTTTATTCTAGTCCCAGGTCCTTCTAGGTTAATTTGAAATAAAGCTCCATCTAAATGACCAAAAGTAAAACCTGGCTAAGGATCTAAAGTTTTTCTCGTTTACTTTTTTATTTATTCAGTCATTCATTTAATCGGCAAACATTGAGTGAACACCATCTTCACTGTACAGAGCAGTGTGCTCAACACTGTGGTGAGGCAAGCACAGATCGATGCTGCAGTTGCTGCCACAAGTTAGTGGCTTAAGTCCAATTTTAAGTGTACTCACAAGTGTCTTCTCTCAGGAGTCACAGAGATATCCAGGAATAGACCATTGGTCCCCCTTATTAAATGTCATTTTTTTTTTTTAAATCACAAAAAGTAAAAGTTGGGGCTGGCCTGGTGGCATAGTGGTTAAGTTTGCCTGCTCCACTTCAGTGGCCTGGAGTTCACCAGTTCAGATCCTGGGCACAGACCTATATACTGCTCATCAAGCCACACTGTGGCAGTGTCCCACATACAAAATAGAGGGAGACTGGCACAGATGTTGGCTCAGCAACAGTCTTCCTCAAGCAAAAAGAGGAAGATTGGCAATAGATGTTAGCTCAGGGCCAATCTTCCTCACAAAAAATAAAAGTTAAAAGTCAATGTATGCATATCTGTCCTATTATATAATTTATGACTGCCTTTGTGTAATAAACTTAAGAACTTCTAATGGGGCAGTTAGGATTTGATTCCTGAAAAAGTATGTCTTTAAAATGCTTTGTAAATTGTAGGTCACAGAGAGCTATTTCCTAATTATTCACTTATAATTAGTATCTATTGATTATATTCTATGTTAGTTTCCTGTGGCTGATGTAAGAAATTACCACAGACTGAGCAGCTTAAAATAACATGTCTTTATTATTTTACAGTTTTGGAGGTCAGAAGTTCAAAGTCAATCTGACAGGCTCAAGTCAAGGTGTCAGCAGGGCTGGTTCCTTCTGGAGGCTCCAGAGGAGAATTTGTTTCCTTGCTTTTGCCAGCATCTAGGCTCTCCTTGTTCCTTGGCTCATGGCTCCTTTCACATTTCTTTTTTCCCCTCTCCTTCCCCCTGTGGTCACATCTCTTTCTCTCTGAATTTTTGTCTCCCTCTTACAAGGACTCTTGTGATTACATGGAGCCTACCAAGATAATTCAAGATAATCTGCACATCTCAAAATCCTTTTTAATCACCTGCACAATTCTTTTTAAATGTAAGGCAGCATATTCACATGCTCCAGGGGTTAGGACGTGGACATCTTTGGGAGCCATTATTCAGCCTATCACTTATACCTTTATATGTTCCATTTTCATTATGCCAAATTGGTTGCCTTAAGATATGATAGAACAGATTCTGTTGTTAGGTATAAGTAAAATAGATAATATCAAAGTATTAGCAATTTTTAACTATTTGTGTTGAGTGGTCATGGTTATATATTTGAGGGGAACAAGAGACTCGTTTTGTCACTTAATATTGTTGGCCTATCTTAAGAAGAATATTTAACATGATTTTAATACTATGCAAGACTTTTCCCCAGAAGGGAGGGGAGGAAACTTGGGGGAAAAGGTCTGCTGGCAGCTGTGAGCTTGTGAATTTCTAGGAAATTCTGGGAGCCGTTGGGAATCATATTGTGCAGGGCTGGCAGGAGGCAAAAATTTCTCTTCTTTCGTCTCCCTTCAGGCCCTACTAGATCATGCTTTAGGTTCTCTTGGCTTCTCTGCCATCTTCCTCTACATAGTGTCCCGTGTTATCAATCCATCCATCCAGCTGCGATGGCCCTCTTTTAGGTGCCAGCGGTAGTCTGATTTATGTCACCCTGGGATCTCCTCTATGCCACTCTTTCCTGAATACCTTGAAAACCACTGTTTAAGTCTAGTAAGTAGGAAACTCAAGTTACAATGTGATTGTAATTTTTGGTTTTCATTTTACATGTTTTGAGTAAGTGTTTTGTCTGTTGTGGCTCTCTTTACCCAGCCTGGAACTGTGCTTGAGACAAGTGGATGACAAGCTGGTGGTTTTATCATGCAGGTGTCATCTCACTCTGTACAAGAGATCTTTGTTCCTACTCCAGCTCCCCATCCTGGGCTCATTCTGGGCATTTGGGCCCTTGTTGTATGTACGTCTGCCAACTCCCCTAAAGTAAAACTCACTGTTTTCAGTGCACTGAATTGAATATTTAATATCCAACCTTTGTTTATTCTTTAAATGTTCTTTAAACAGTCCTAAATTATGAATTCAATATTTAGTCCTACACAGAGTAATTCTCGTTACTGAGAATCATTCATTAATCAACATTGTAAATTTTATTTGCATATTTTACTTACAAGTTATTAATTCCACGTATGTCCATGGTTGCTCACAAGTTGAGTTCCCATTTGATGAAGTAATTCAGCAGTGTTGGTTTTTGTATTCTCTCCCAGTTAAAGAGTTTTATTGACTCTCTTCTGTGGGCACAGACTATATTTATTCCTAATCCTGGATATTATCTCAAATACTTGTCACTGCAACAGGAGTAGGGGAGAATGGATGGGTGGTGACAGGCA